TAGTATATATTATTATTTATTTATTATTATATATATATATATATATATATATATATATATATATTATATTATTATTATATATATATATATATATATATATATATATATATATGATATATAATATGCATGTTTTATTTAAAAATATTTTAAGAATAAAATAATTATATCACAAACTACTTTAGAGGAAATTACACATATTATATAACAAAATCTTTAAAAGATATTGTTTCTTTATTATATCTTCAAAAGGCAATGCTACGGAAAACACCTCATCAGCGTGCTTCGATGAAACGTAATCCCATATACGAGAGCGTCACACCGTCAGAATCAATGTCAAAATCTTATAGCGATTTATATGACTCAAATGTTGCTTACAAAAGTGACGATAGTCGCAAAGATTCGCCAGAATGGAATCCAAACGAGATGATCGTCATGTCAGAAAAATATGCAAACGAGAACGCATGGAATGAAGAAGGTGGCAAAGATGATGATAATAGTGTTACTACAGAGATAGCACCAGGCATCATTGTTAAAGGTTATATAGCTGAGTTATAAAGAAAAAAAGACCAGTTACATCACAATCAATTATAATTGCATTTATGTTTGTAATGTTTGTTATGTTTGTTATGTAATCAAACTATATGTCTGTATTTGTGTCACAGTAACAGCTATAATCTGGAAAAGAAAAAATTAATTAAAGATAAAGTGAAGATATAGTGAAGATTATCAATGCGATTAATTTTTCGTGCAATTTAAAATTACATTATATCAAAATATTTTAAATTTTTAATTGAGAAAATGTGACTCTGTATAACGATATTTATAACGAATAACGCAATAAAGTCATTGTGACAGCATCATTTGTGACAGCTGACTAAATATATCAATGACTTATTATTATAATTATGTTAATGAGTATATCTAAAAAAATGAAAAATTTGCATTTAATGTTATATGGAATGATTTATTTATTACAGAAGGTTAAATATCATTTCTTCATTAATACAAACAATTATTTTAATATTTCATTATCAATAACTCAGATAAATAAATTTTAAGTTATAAATAGTATGTTATGCATTTACAATAATGCTGATTACATGCGTAATGTCCATTCATAAAAAGAGATAAGTACTTATGTAAATCGCTTTACATAAAGATTAATAACATAATTCTTCTATTGGATATTAGAAAGATTATCTGAATAATAATTCAGTTTATCAACTATTATTAAATATAATACAAATAATCCAACATAATTGTAGTCTGAATGGAAAAATAACAAATAAATTCACAAAAAGATGCTATTAT